AGCAAAACTCACAGGTCAGCTCCCGAGTAGGAGAGTGAAGGAGAGCAGCCTTGAGTATCGGATCAGAATTCCCTCTCTAAACCTTCCCTGCCTGTTGGTCTGCTCTCACTGCTGGTTGTCTCTGGGCAGAGGAACTTGGGAAGAAATGGACCATTGGCAGTGTTGAGCCTTGAACCCCTCTCTCTCAGTCAGGCAGTGCTGCCAGCCCTTCTCCTTGTGTTCTCCCTTGGTCCTTAGTCCTGGGTGGGTTGGAGGTGGGCCGAGCTTCTCCTGCAAAGAGTAGATATAGAGAGCACCCCTTAGGGAGCAGCTGGTGTGGTCAGCTGTCCGTGGCAGCTGAGCATGGGGAGGATGGAGTTTGGCATGGGTCTCTCCTTGCTTCCACTTCTTTTGCTGTTGTGTTCTAGCTGGGCTGGGGGAGATGAAGGCTTATCCTGAGGATGAGAGGTTGGTCTGAAGGTCAGGCTTTGTGTGGCTATGAAATAGCCATTGGCCTTCCTCGTGTGGACTTCAGGAGCCACAGGACAGAGTCCAGCATTGGGTTGGAGGCTGCCCATGAAGCTCTTGTACTTGGATTATTGTTAGGACGAAACGAGGGATGCCTAGACCCGCTCTGCACTCCCCCCAACCCCTTAGATAGAGGAATTTCTTCAGCAGCATTCAGCAATCACTTCTTAACTAGGCCCTATGAAGAAAAGGGAAAGTAGACATGGCTTCTGCCATTATATAGTTTACAGTCTAAAGCAGACAGAATCTTTATGAATTTTCAGACTTAGCAGTAGCACAAAAATGGTTTGGATGAGCATGTATCTTGTTAACTGGGTTTTACTGGTGAAAGTTGTGTGGTTGAGAATCAGTGAGAAGGAATGAGTCTTTCTCTCCCGTTACTTGTTAAAAGGTTTAGATTCGCTTAGCTCTAATTTCTCTTAATGATTGAGTTCTCTTGAGAAAATAGCTAGAAACCTGTTAGAGGTTAATTTTTTCTTTGTTTTATTGGACTTAAGTGATAATCTGTCACATTTAAGGTGAGTTTATCCAACAGGCCAGATGTGGTCTGAGGTGGGGCAGCACTGGGGGTGGAGGAGAATTTGAGCTCTCTCCCAAGAGTGGGTGATGGGGACCTGAAGCATATGGGGGAGATGGATCCTCCACCGAATATAGATTGGAGATGCGTAGACCGTGCTAGAACTGGGTTACTTTCAAAATGTTGTTCAGCAATGTCGCTTCTTCTCAGAGAATTAGAGTGTAAAAACCAAGGCGGAATGCAGAAAGGTACAAAAACGTCCCCAGCTGTCCTCCTTCCCTGTGTTGCAGTGGAGGATGATGACCTCAAATGGCTGTGAGCAGTTAGACCTTGTGAAAAGAGAGGACCAGACTGGGGAAATATGAGCGTGTGTGGTAAAGAAGGAGGTGGACAGAATTTCCATTTTAATCAAAATGTTTTGCAGTTGCATCATGGCGGTGGGGGGAGGGGAGGTTGTGGTCTAAAGAGTGATAGAACATGAGTTCATACAAATTTGCACTTTTGCTCCAGAAACCAGTTGGAATTCTATTTCCCCATTGGCCATTCTGCACACTGTGCCACGGAGAGGCTACTGGTAGCCAAGTCCCTTGAGTGCCCTCAATTTTTTTCTCTGCCATTTCCTTTTCCTTTGAATTAGGAGAAGCTTCCACCTTTTCACCTTGGCATCTGAACAATATTTAATGCTATGAGCAAACCAGTGCTGGGCTCCCTTGAACACCAGGTCTGTGAGATGTTCCCCTTTTCCTCTTCTGAACTTGGTGTGCTTTGCCCAGGTCTCTGCCAGTGGGGCAGGACCTTGTCCTTGTACTGCATGTAGGGTTACCTGGACGCCATGCTGCCTCTGATAACTTGAGTTAGTGGGTCAGGTACAGGGCAGTGTCCTTACCCCAAGGATTGGGCAGGACAGGACACCTGTGTCTCTGCAGGCTAGGAAATGCGTGGCAGCCAAATGGTTCCAAAGACAGGCTGGTGATGAGTTCCAGAAGTTTCTTTTACTGAAAGATAGACCGCAAGTGAATAAAGGAGGAAACTCAAGTCATCTGGATTAAAAGGTTTTAAAATGAATAAATTTCTGGGATTGGGTGGTTGATTTTTGCTTGGGTTATCCTAGGTTGACTGCCTAAGTGTCATGGGACATCACACAACAGGAACGTGGCTCAGAGAGGATAATAGTGCCCCTTAGAGGAGTTCCTTGGAGGCTAGGTAAAAGGATATGGGTCTGACTTTTGAATAATAAAACTTTGGCTCCATATGGGACCAAAACCTGAGATATCACCCGCCTCACTTTACAGATGAAAAAATGCAGAGAGACTGTGAGAGCAGGATTTGTCTGAGATCATAGAACAAGTTAATGGGCGAGTCAGGATGAGGATCCAGGTCTTCTGGCTGCTCGCGTGGCATTCTTCCCTGCACCCTGCTACCTCTGTAATAAAGGGCCAAGGGTACGTCCACTTTCATGCCACGCCAGTATATTTGGCCAAGAAAGCCACTTCCACCAATTGCCAGGCACATCCACTGGCATCTAGAAAAAAGGCAGTGAGCTTCCCAGAAGCTGTTCATCAGGGTGAGGAGAGACTTGCTCTGGAACCTACAGGGAGAAGAGATGGGAGTCCAAGGGCAGAGTTGGGGATGCTTATCCTGGCAGTGGCTGCTGAAACCTGAAAACTGGTCATTCCAGAGTCCTTTTGGAGAACAAGTCAGAATGGGTGTTTGTCCTCCTTTTCCTCCTGACAGCTGCCTCCTGAGAGGTGGGCACCTCTGGAAGCTAAGACATCACCAGTAAAGAAAAGGATGAAAATAAATAAGACCAAAATCCCATGTGCTGCCATGCACCAGACCTGACCATGAATGTGTGCAAGAGGTTCACTTGCTGAACCACTTGTGAATAGAGCTTTTGCCACTCCATGGACCATCTCTTAGAAAAGCAAACATCTATCACACCCGGGGAAGTGGTAGGAATACTCAGTTATCCTGTGTGTGTGTGTGTGTGTGCGCGTGCGCGTGCGTGCGCAAACATACTCATATGCCTGGGTACATATTTAAAAACCTGCTTTGCCCAGAATGCTGTTAGGACATGTCCTAGTGCCCAGCATTGTGAAATATATTTAGAGTTAAGAATGTTCAGTTAAAATGTTCTGTACTGTTACTATTTCTCAATTGGGATGGATCAGCCATGGCCAGGAGTAAGATTACATGGGGGTGGGGCACACTACAGTGTCATGGATGAGGGTGTGTGTGTGTGTGTTTGTGATTGGGAAATCATTTGTTGTCTTTGGCAAGGGGTTAGAGGGAGGGCGAGCAAACAAAACTGTGATTGAGAAAGAGTTCTATGAAGAGGACTGGGTGTGATCGCCATCAGAGGCCGCACGCACTGGGCACTGTATGCTGTCTTCAGGACCCTGTGGCCCGTGGACTGTGACTCTCAGGAGGCTCACCTGGGAACCCGCATGTTTTTGACACACTGTTGTGTTCTCATTACGGGATTCGAAGGTGGTGGCAGTGGGTGGCTCGGCTTAGTTGTCATGATCTGGGGGCAGTGAGGCCCAGCTCCAGGTCCTGCTGGCTCGAGTCTGTAATACCCCCACTTCCCACCCGCAGTTTTGTCAGTATCGGTATCAGCAGCTCTCCAGCCTTTGACTGTCGTCTAAACACATCACATTCTGATTGCAATAAGTTCTTGGCTCTAAGGGGGCCTTGAATGCTCTCCTGCCTGTCCCACCGCTCTCAGCTCCTACCTCTGGCTGCCATTGCCTGCCCTGTTACACCTCAGGGCCCAGGCCCCTGGGGAGGTGGCAGGCAAGGCGCAGAGATGGGCGTGGAGGTGGATCCTGGGAACAGGGCCTGAGAACAGGAGTGTGGGTGGGAGGAAAGTCAGTGTTCCAGGCCAGATGGCCCGCACGCCAGTCAGCAGCTCAGAGCTTCGGCCATGCCTTGCACAGACCCTCTTCCCAGTGCTCAGCTCCCCACTAGCCGGCCTGCTTCCCTATATCTATCCAGCTCCATTGCTGGCTCCTGACTGAGCAGTGAGGTCAGGCGGGAAAGGCCCCTGGTGGGAGTTGGGATCAGAGCCAGTTGTTACTGGGACCTCTGTCTTCTTGGGGTGATCATATGTGCCAAGCCCACCTCACAGAACTGCAGTGATGGTAAAACGAGATAACGTGCATGAAAGCAGTTTGGAAAGCCAAAATGATGACTATCACCTTGCATTTCTAGAATGAAGTTATCTGGTTTCTTGCAAGCTTTCTTTCTGTCAGGGCTCAACCTCTGGCAAGAAATAGAGGAAGACGTTTCAAAAGATGGGCCTTAGGGGCCGGTTCTCCATGTTGGGAAGTGACTGTAGTTCTAAGAACCTCTGGATGCCCCGACAGGAGCATCTTGTCTCCATAAAAGCATCAATTCATTAATAAGTTTCTTCAGAGCCTACTCTGTGCCCGGCACTGCAGTGGGAGTGGGGATACGAGAGAGAAAAGGTACAGGTGCAGGTCTCCTCCGTCTAAGGGTCTCGCAGGGGAGCCAGGCACCTGCACAGTCGCAGCGCAGCAAGGGCGGTGCTGTGACCCAGGTAAGCAGAGGCCTCGTGGCCTCCATGTGTGGTCTGTGCTACTTTGACCACGAGCATTTGTCTGACTCTCCTAGTGCTTCTTCCTTCCTCCCTCTGAAATTGGATCTGATTTTTTTTTCTTGGTCCGTGTGCCAGTGAGTAAAGCAATAGGAAGTGCCCTGTTCTTCTAGCACTTGGACAAGACCAGGAATGGATGCTTCCTTGGCAGCAGGCCATGAGAAAAGGGGGCACTTTAGGCTGTCTGAGGATCCAGGGATATGGCTCCAGCAGTGCCCATCCCTAGCTCCCATGCCCTCTATCTCCCTTCCTCTTGTTCACCTGCCAGAGGGATGACTGCAAAGCCCCCGCATGGGGGTGGGCCTGCCTTCTGTCCAGCAAGAGCAGCAGCAACCTGTCTTTTCCTTTCCCCTACAGGAAGCTGCACAGTGGGATGAAGACGTACGGGTGTGAGCTCTGCGGAAAGCGGTTCCTGGATAGTTTGCGTCTGAGAATGCACTTACTGGCTCATTCAGGTAGGCAAGGATGCCCTGACTGGCCCCTTGGAGCACAGGCAGCCACCTCCTGCCCACCTTCACCTCCACCCAGAGCACAGTGTCCCCACTGCTGGCTGGGGCCTTGGTCCACCTTGTCCCATGGATGTTCCCTCCAGGTTCATGGAGCAGAAAGTCCATCGTGATGATCTGACCATCTGGACGAACCCATCCTCTTTCTCACCTGGGTTTCCCAGGGTGGTGTTAGCACCCACTGCCCCATGTGCTCTACCTTTCGAAGTAGACTGTGGTTTCATTAGCAAAACAGTTGTGGAATTAGGTTCTCACTGTCTAATGAATCTGACTATCGGGTTCACATTATACAGGAGCCTTTAATTAAATAGGTATAGAAAGGTTGGAACACAAAGCTAGTTACAGCGTGCTGTCTTTTGCAAGTTAATTTTATCCAATTCTAGTGGGGTCGACTGTGCAGCTCATGTTTGGGCAAAGCTGCTCTGCCCCATGAGGCGTGGAAAGGGAAGAAGCACTGGCACCCAGCGTGCTTCGTGTCCTTGGTGGAGGGAAGGATACAGCAGGTCTGATGTTGCTGCTTTGAAGCCAAGGGCTCCCCTGGCTTTAGTTGTGGCGGCCTCCACACTTCCCTGCCAGGGCCAGTGCTGTATTCCCTCTAATTCCCTTGCCTTTCACCCTTGGAGTCACGTTTTAGGGAGAGGGGAGGGCTGTCCTCTTATTCGGTATTGCTCTCCCCTCATATCGTCAGCTGTCAGCGCCTGCTGGTTCCTTCCCCCTGTTGCCTCCCGCATCTGGCCTTCTGGGCAGTTTGGCATTTGTGAAATGAGCATGGGCTTTGGGGCTGGCAGATGAAGGTTCAGATCTTGTCTGTGATAGGTGCTAACTGTGTGACCCTGGGCAGATTTGTGTTCTGAACCCGAGTTTCTGCATCTGTAAAGTGTAGGTGTTGCTAGCTCGTATCAGTTTTTTTTTTTCTTTAGTGTTAGGTTACACAATACATGTTAAAGGCATCTGTAGTCCATTCTCTGGCATACAGTTGATATTTAATAAATGTTGATTGTTTCTGCTTGCCCGTTCCTCTCTTTTCCCTAGTCCTGAAGCTGTCACCCTGTGGTGTGCTCCCATCACCGTACTCCAGAGCTTTCCGTCTGGCTGGCTGTTTGCAGTCTCTCCCTGCTTCTTGCATCACCTGCACAGTTGTGTAAATGCTATTTGGTAGCTTTTTATGCTTCAGCTCGCCACAGCCTTGCTGCAGAGCCTGTGCGGCTCAACCATGCCTTGGATGTTGTCTCTCCCTGGCCTTTATGGCCCTTCCTGAGGTACCCTAGCTCCTTGCCTCTCTTTCTTCCCTCTTCCAGATCCAGGGATTGGGCCAGACCACGTGGCAGTCTATGTTGGCGTGTCCACTCTGTGTGTTCCATTCCTTCTTCGAGTGGGCCTTCCCCACCCCACACCTGGCTCCGCTGAACCGTTCTCGTCCCACCCACTTGTCCCACCTTGGCCTGGAGTCCTGAGTCCAGGCGTTCCTGCCTTCAGCCTCTGCTTGGTACTCATGTCTCTATTTGTTCTATTTTTGTAACTTGCCCCTTGTATCTCCTTGCTTCCCTTTAGCTTTAAATGCTGTTTAGGGTACAGTGTGGGGTTTCATGAGCCGTCTGCCAACCAGGTGGCCACCCCTCCCAAGAGCAGAGTGTGGCTCTTCCGTCTCATTTGCTCCCTGCTCCAGGCCCCTGTGTGGTCTCCATCTATGTGGAGTTGGACACTTCTCTGTGGGTAATACACTTCTCAGCCTGTGGTTAAAGCTTCCTCGCCCCCTCTGTCGCTCAGCCCAGTGAGCGTCCCTTCTCCATACTTTTTCCTTGAGTCCAGTGGACTCGTCTACTTGTTGGTTTGCTCTCTGTGCTTTCCGAGCTCTGGGGTTTCCTTTACCCATTCCCTCTGCTTGAAATAACCCTTCCCAGTCTTCCCAGATCTTCAAGGTCCCTTCTGCAGTGCCATCCTCAGCTTTCCCCACCTCTAGCCGGAAGCAATCAGGCCTCCTTCTGGGTGGCCATATTTCTTTATCTGAAGTATTCTTGGGCACAGTCGTTCTTCTTTTGTTATGGTTGTTCATAGATTTGCCTGATGACCCCTACTTGGGAGCCAGGGTTAGGAATTTGGGCACCTATCTCCTGACCGTGTGACCTTGGGCAAGAAATGGGAACCCTCTGGGCCTCCGGATCCTCAGCTGTGAGATGGGAGTACTTCACCCTGCCTCAGAGCAGTTGAGAGGCTCACACCTGACACTTAGCGCCATGCCTGACCTGTGATAGGCTCTCGGGGGGTGTAATCTTCCTTTCCCTCTGTTCCTCTAATGGACTGGAAGCTACTTGGGGACAGGGCCTGTCCCCATTATGCCCAGCACGTTGGAGCCTATAGATAGTGGTTGAATGAATGAGTGCAGCCTGGGAGGCCCATGGGCAGCTCAGGGAATGTCCAGTCTCCCACCACTCTCTCCTGCACTGGGAACTGTTTAGACTGTGTCCCAGGGGTGTACGGCGGCGGGGCGGGTAGGGGGTGGGGGCAGCCAGGAGCCCTCTGGCCCGTATTGTCCAAGTCTGAATTAGCTGCTGGTTCTGCTGTGAAACACACTTCAGCAGTGTTGGTGGGGCCGGTGGGAGAGACAGAAAGGGGAGAAGCTGCTTACACCCTTTCAGGTGGGCCTGGAGCCCGCACTCCAGATACCATGAGTGACTCTGCCTCACCCCTGAGGAGCCAGCAGTTCCCTGGGGACGCGCATGCCTGTCCTCACTGAGATACCCCTTCAAAGTCCCATAGTCTCATAGGGATGCCCCAGCAGCTTTGGGAGCTGAGTCCTGTTTTCCTGGGTTTTCTTCTCTGTGCCTCAAGCCTGATTTTGCAAATGATCTGTCCCTCTGAAATTCACTTGCCAAAGCCCTTGTGAAGGAGGATTTGGTGATGGGGGACCTATGATGGGCCCTAATCATGCTTTAATTCACCCTTGCAGATAGCTCACAGGTTGTTTCCACTCTGACATTTCTAGTCTTTGTTTTTTCTTTCTATTGTCCTGCATATCTCTCACCCCTATGCTGGGAGGTCTTGAAATTAAAATGACAGCAAGAGCTTAGGGAGGCCAGACCACTTCCTAGATTGTTTGCCCCTGCACCTGTTACACAGTGAAGGCTCCGGGGCCTCTGAAGGGCCCTGGCCTTGTCAGGGAGTTGGGGTTGGAGGGCTGGACTGGTGGTGCCGGGTCTTCTCTCAGATTCCAGTCACAGAAGTCGGGTTGTACACCTTCTGACTGCTCCCCAAGTTGCCTGAGAACAGAACTGTGTGATGTTTTAGAAGAGGCCTTTAATTAGATAGCAGGAGCTTTCCTTGCTGCCCTGTTCTGAAAGCTCCGTGCAGGAAGCCGACAGCAAGAATGGCCTCTCAGTGTCTGTAGTGCAGACCCACTTTACAGAACATCACCAGTGGTTGGAGCAGCAGTGCAGAGCCTAGGAGAACAATAGTTGCTCCAGAACCCTGGGGACCATTTGTTAAACCGGAGCAGGCCATGGAGAAGAGAGTCTGGGATCTGGGTCAGGGTCACGGTGCTCCTGGCTTCCCCTGAATTTGTTGCTGCCCTTGCACAGGCACATTCCTGCTGTTTTCTCCTGCTCAGCGGAGCTGAACGGTGCTCAGGCGCTCAGTTCCTTACTCGCTCCCTCTGCGTGCTAGCGGCCCCCACCCCCTCTTGGCGAGCATGGCCTGTGTTTGTTATTGTAGTTCTGGCGCTGGGCCAGGCCTGGCTGGGAGCCAGCCTTGTGGGTACAGTGTGTACAGTGAGTGCTGAGCCAAGTTTGTCATCATACACGATTAATTTTTTTTTCTAATCTGGTAGGGGTGGGGTGAAGGAGCAGGCGAGGGAAGAGTTTCTCTGATGCTTGAAAACAGGCCACATGGAATTCTGCGGAGACATTATTGATGAAAGGGTGAAACACTCTGTCTCTTGTTTTTCCTTCTCTCCCTCTCTCTTTCTTTTTCCTCCTTTCTCGTTGTCTTCCTCTCTCCTCTGCATGTCCCTATCCGAGGAAATCAGCCTGTAGGAGATCGACAATATGAGGTCTTATTTTCAGTGACTAGAATACTAAATTTACGCTCCTAAATCAGTTTTCATTGTGTTGAAATTGACAATTTGTTTAATTAGAAGTTTGCCCTGTAGGAGGCCCTTCTTAAAGACAGTTATTTCTTTCTCTTTCTCTTTCTCTCTTTTTTTCTTTTTTAAGACTCTAAAGGGTAGTAGTGAATGTTCCGTTTAATTGAAGTTTTTATTTCAGTTTGAATGTATTAACTAATCAAGTGTTTATGAGATATACCTGATGATAAGAATACATTTAAATTAACAAACAATAGCCTAACTCATTAACTAATGACATTGATCTGGCCAGGCCCTGCATTCTCGGAGGTGGTTTTGGGGAGCAGGTGGGTTTGAGTATGGGGAAAGAGGCTTGGGGTGAAAGAGTGACCCCTTGGATGCTTTGCAGAGCTCTTCCTTCTGGAGCGTGGACCTTGGGTGGAAGATGGTGGCAGTGAGCAAGGGAGGAATCCCAGCCCCTCTGCAGCCCGGGATCACGCGGCAGTCTCCCTCTCCATCCTTTGCTGCCCCATCCCGTGTGGTGATGGGGCCCTGAAGCATCTACAGACCAGACCTCTGTGCTGTGCTGTTTGCTGCTCCTTGTTCTCCCTTAAGAGGTGATCCCTAGCTCTGGGATGTCCATGCAGAGACCGTAGCCTCGGGCGGTGACTCAGTTGGTTCTGTGATTTGCTCGTGTAAGGTTTCCCATTAGGTAGTGTTTCCCGCAGCTTGGCTTCACATACTGGTGGATTAGAAGTGAGCACACCCAGAACTGCTTGCCCCTATTTTTGACTTGGCTGCGTACTATTCAGTGGTTTGCCTGTTTCGGTGGCCTGCTCCTATTCTGGGAGTGTCATTCATTTTTGAAGCCAGCAGACATTTCCTAAGCACT